TCCAAATACACTTTGGCAAATACATACTTGTGGGTCCACAGACAGACACATATACTCACAGACATCTTTGCATCTAACCACATGCTGGTACATTTTTGTAATGGCGTATATTTTATTTCTTAAAGATAAGTAGAAGCCTCATCTTTTTGTTCCACCCCCAGCCCAGCAATTTAATTATCTTTCCCAAGAGCTGGATAAAAGGAGGGGACTCCAAATCCAGGCTGCTATCACTTATCCCACCCCTCCCCCATAACACATTCTTAGCTTTTGTGTCCAAGGCTTGGCATGTTGATATGTGTATTAATAGGGAATCTCTCATCTCCCAACTACTCAACAAAGCCAGCTTGGATTTCACAATGGGACAAAGGAGGTCACATTGACCATGGCCCTGTATGGGTTCATTTATCTTGGCCAAGTTGGGCATCTGATCTCAAGCCACAGCGATGCCATAGGAAGCACTGCTCACAGGACATCAGGGAGGTCCTTAGGTGAAAGACTATAAGAGAAACTAAGAAGGAATATTAGAGGGTAAAAGTCTCACCAGCAGATCTTATTCTATAAACTTGAGTTAATTACTCAGCTTCTCTGGGGCTGAATTTTCCCATTTGAAAAATGAGATAAATCTTCTTTTTCTACTTCATATTATCCCTTAATCACCTATTTCTCTTCATTTTCAACCTTGAAGTTTGTCACAAAGAGAACTGACTTGATAGGAAAGTTTTTGTGAGAAAAGTACCATAGGAATCTTACCAGTGACAGAATAATGTCCCAGTATTGATGGAGAAACAGTTAATGCTCAGCAAACTGAGTTAATAAGAAAACAAGATCATATACTATTTAAAAATTACATTTCACTTTGGAAAATAGCTAGAAGAGTGGACCATTCACAAATACTTTTAGATCCTTACATTCAGGCTTTTGCCATTAGGTTTCTGTTTCCTCTTTGGCTTTCTATCACTTTCAGTAGCCCTGGGAAATGGTAAGGGTTGAATATATGGGGCCAGAGGTTAGAGACACAAAGCAGTACTATGTTCCAAACGTTTAGGCCACTGCAAGCTATTAATTCTCCCTTCTTGTAAAACTGCAAAAAGCACAAGTTACTCCAAGGGCTTTGGGCAAGTGCTTCATAGCCTGCTGGAGTTGCCCTCGCCTAGGTTCTGTGTATACATGTATGGGTATTTCTGGTTCCAATAAACCAGCTTATAGATAGAAGCTTTCACGAATTGGTACAATTTCAGGTTAATAACATTTTTGTGAGATATTAGATAATAATTCTCTGGGAAAGTCCTTAGGCTGAAATAGCTAATATGGAGGCTTGAGGGAGTGTTTTCAGGGTCAATGAAAAGAACAAAGCAAGTTTTACCTGAAATCTTAGGAGAGGAAGAGTGACACAGAGGCCCTTGAAAATATATAATATCATGGGAAAGACAAGGGAATTTCCTGGAGATGAATTCTGTCCATACTAAGTTGTTTTACACACACACACACAATCATCCCCCACTGAGACACAGTTTGTGTTGTTGTTAGTTGCCATCTAATTAGCCCTGACTTACAGTGATCTTATATACAACAGAGGTCTACTTTGTATATTCATTTGAAAGACACCTCCTCACATTTATACAAAAATCCACCAAAAACCTTTCAACACGTAAAATGTGGTACAAAGCTCATTCAACCTCTTCCTCCCTTAGCTATTCCAATAAGCAGTAAGTACCCTTTAGATAGGTAAGAAAATTAGAAGAGGGAGGTTGTAGGCAGGAGGCGAAAGTCTTTTTTTTTTTTTTTGGTTGAACAAACACGAGTTTATTCTCTCATAGGTTGGAGGCTTTAAGTTCAAGTTCAAAGTGCCAAGCTCTAGGGGCTGGGTGAAAGCCCCTCAGCCTTGGGCTTCAGCTTTGCCTTCAGCTCCCGGAGGCAAAAGTCTTGTAGGGTACTTTGAAAAGGAAACAGAAAGAAAAGGCTTCGTTCCTCAAAGATGGGGTCAGAAAACTAACGACTGTGGGCTAAATCCAAGAGCAGCCTGGTTTTGCAAATAAGGTTTAACTGGACCCAGCCATGCCCATTTATTTACAAGTAAGTCATGTCTGCTGGTTACCTCCTCAGTACAATGGGAGTAGTTGCCACAGAAACCCTACGGCTTGCAAAATAGAAAATATTTACTATCTCTCCCTGCCATCGAGTTAGATCCATTACTATCTAGCCCTTTACAAAACGTTGTCAACTCTGCCTTAAAGAAGAGAAGTTTTTATGGGAGTTGGGAGAAGCTACTGAATAAGGAAGGGCAACAGGTTTAAAGTCAATTACTCAGTTTCTCCAGGGCTGTATTTTCTCATTTGAAGCTTTTTTTCCACTTCCTATTATCCCCTAATCACTATTTCTCTTCATTTTTACCCTTGAATTTGCCACAGAGAGACTACACAGAGCCAGAGTCATTAGCAGCATTACATATGTATACATGTATATATACGTATGTTACATTATAAAATTATATATAATCTTTTTTAGAAGAGGGCAGTGTCCGATACAAAGAAAATTAACAGCTCAGCTTCACCCTTGAGATTATGAGATAAGCACATCCAGTAATGTAGATGTAAGGGGAAGGGAAGGAGGAGGAAGTTTATAAGGAGGGAGTTTATAACTGAGTCTTTACATGGAGTTCTGGTTATCTGGGAAGCCTTTCTGGGAAGTTTAGGATTTGCTAGAATTGTTTGAACAATGAAAAGGTAAGGGTGTGGTGAGGTTAGTCCAAAGTTTGTTTTTTCCTCCACAAGTTTAAGGTTTCTTTAATCCGAGATAAGATGAAATTAGCAGCTTTTTAATGAGAAACAAGGGGAAGGGGGGAATGCAATGCCAATGCTGAGGACATAAAGTCATAGAACTTTTTTTTTTTTTTTTAGGGATGGGAGGTGAGAGGGATGGGGAGAGGACAGGCAGGGAGGGGCATTTACACCTGTTGATATACTCTATTATTGGCCCCAGGAAAACAATAGAACTGGGTCTCTTGCTGCTCATTCATCATGCTTTTAAAGGCTACCAGAAATCAGTCCACCTGCTTCTCTGGATCAAGAAGAGATTATCTGTTCAAATCTACCAGCCTCAGGAATGCAATGATACTCTCTACACCCCTTTGGTTTATCAAGGAAGAAGGTCTTCAGCTTCCTCTTCACTAAGGCACAGTGAGGGGCAATAATGTCCCCTGTTGATCAACATCCAGATGACAAAATCTCACTTCTGCTGCCATTCTTGTTGTTACTATGTGCCATGGACTCAACTCATAGTAACCCCTCCTTGGGTTTCCAAAGTGTTATCACTACAGTAGATTGCCCAACTTTCCTTCCGAGGAGTGGCTGGTGGGTTTGAACCGCCAGTCTTCTGGTTGCAGTCAAGTGCCTTAGGCACTATGCCACCAGAGCTCCTTCTGCTGCCATGGTCTCTCCAATCAGACTTCTGAGCAAGCCGGAGGAGCTCTGGTGGCTTAGTGCCTAAAGTACTTGACTGCTAACCAGAAGGCTGGTAGTTCAAACCCACCAGCCACTACTTGGAAGGAAGGTTGGGCAATCTACTTCCGTAGTGATACCACCTCAGAAACCCAAGGAGGGTTGCTATGACTCAGATTCAACTCGATGGCAGTGCAATGCATTGTGTTGAGCAAATTGGAATAATTCTTAGCCATCATGTAGAATTTACTGAGGTTCAGAACCCTGCTATTCCTTCTCAGTTCCTTGGGGAAAATATCAAACTACATAGGTTATCTTACTGAGCAAATTTTACTTACTGTCTGCCTGAGTTGTTTCCTTTGAATAGGCTCATTACTCAGTATTTTCAAAAGGAGAGCCTCTGGGGGAAGTTTTCTCAAAATGAGACACAGAGGCCAACATCTATATTTCAGGGGTCAGGACTGTGAAGTCTAAGTGCTGCTCCACGCCCTAATTCTCTAGGGGGAAAAAAAAATGCACAGAGGAGAGAGTTACCATTATTACTTACTGGGGAAGTGGGAGGAATACAACAAAACAGAAAGGAAGATAATACAATCTCCAAGTCTCTTTACTATTGCATTTCCAGAAGTCCTTCATGAAGTGCCTGTAGGGACAGTTTTTAACTAATAAATAGTTCTTTGATGTACTAGAAACGGAAGTGGCAGTGAAATTGGTGAAAGTTATAACAGAATGGAGGCTCATTTCCACAGTACCGTTTTCTGGCACTCATGTCTTGCTTGCTCTTGCACCAAAGATCTGGTAACAGTGGGCCACAATAGAGGATTCCTTTCTGATAAAATAAAGGTTTATCTTCTCATCTACAAAAAGATTGTTAGTGATGATTAATCACCAAGTCTTGAATCCTTCAAGGTTTGAAGGGGCTGGCAGGTCGGTTAATTGCTGGTGCATAACGACGCTCAAAAGTAACAGGAAAAAAGACCAGTATCCTAAATGGAATACTTTGGTTCATAACTGAAGCCAAACAGAACGAGGACCTTGCCAACTTGCTCATCTCTTCCATCTCGATAGCTGAGAAAAAACCTACCTGAGCCGACTTCAAAAGGAAGCTGCAGAATGAGGCTCTTTTGAAGATGAGGCCAGGAAGTCTCAGGCTTTTTCTCAGAACCTGGTTTTGAAGCCTGTTGTAGGGTGGGCGGAAGCGGAGGATCGTGGATGTCTACGTTGTGAAGAAGACATAGGGAGCCCTAGCGGGTAAGCGGTGGCTGGTCAGCTTTAGGGGAGTAACAGCTCAACTGAGGGAGTGTAGCAAAGCACAGTACTTGTACAGAGGCCAACCTTTATGGGCAGCTTGCCTAGTCAGAGAGGCTAGACCACGACGCGTCTTCCGGTTACCATAGCAGTCCTCCCTCTTCCCAACCCCGCCCCCCTTTACCAGCCCTGGGGAAAGGCCGGGAGTGGTCGCCTAAGTGACTGGGAAGCCCCCCCCTTACTCCGGCCTCGGGTCTCAATCCAGTGAATTGCCTTCCCGCCCGCCTGGTGGTGAGAGGGCGCGGCGGCGGTAGCGTCACATCCGGGCGGTGAGTGAGTTCCGGTATTTCAGGGCGGAGCAGGCGGAAGTAGGAGCGAGGAGCGGCTGCAAAGCCGAGCGGAGGAGGCAGGAACTCGAGCGTGAGCAAAAGCTGGGTGGGCACCATGGCCGGGATCACCACCATCGAGGCGGTGAAGCGCAAGATCCAGGTTCTGCAGCAGCAGGCAGATGATGCAGAGGAGAGGGCTGAGCGCCTGCAGCGGGAAGTGGAGGGGGAAAGGCGGGCCCGGGAACAGGTACGGAGAGGGCGAGGCACAGGAGGGAGGGGCGGGCGCTGGAACACCTGGAATCTGCAGCTGGGTCTTTTTTTGCTGTGGAGCACTGTTCTGAAAGGGCCAGCAATCTCTGAGATAAAGTGGAGTCCCGAGGTTGGGTGGGGCTTAGCTCCAGTAGGGCAGCAAGCAGGCAAGTGAGGAACTGGGTTGCTGGGGTTAGCAGGCATGACATTTGAAAGAACTGAGCCTCAGCGGAGCCTGGAGAGTGGTTTTCTCTTCTTTTCTCCTAGCTCATTCATTCAGTCCCTCGGAGCCCGGCGCAGCCTGGGGAAGGGCTCAGCGGCCTCTCCCTCCCCCACTTCCCAATGTAGGGGGAGGACTTTGCTCTTGAGGTTTCCGGCTTAAGGGTTAAGAGTGGGTGGGTGGGTGCTTCTCTGGTCTGCGAGGGGCAGGACCCAACCTGCTGTGACTGTGTAGGGGTGGGAACCACCGGAAAGCCCCCAGCTTAGCCTGCTTTTCCGCTCCCTCCTCCTGCTCAGGAAATGAGGCAGCAGTCGGCTGAGAGGAAGCGCGGTGCCCTCTCTGGAGGAGGTTGAGGCCACAGCACCGCCTCCCATCCTCCCGCCTGAGGCCCTTTCCTCTTACGGGGGAACCCTTGCAGCTGCTACACCCCCTCTGTCGGCGTGAAGCGGGAGAGGAGGAGGTGGTGCTTTACTCCTACGTTAGTGCAAATACAGGAGCCAATCTAACTTGCCTGGCTCTACCCATGGTGACTTGGAAGGCAGGAAGTTCTGCCACATTCAGGCCTTTATTGCTGAAGTGCGATCAGTGTAAGAGCACTTCCTCCAAGCAGAACTGATAATAGAGTGTATGTGGCAGAGAATCAGATGGAGTGCCATTCTTTGCCAGGGTTTCTGGTTGACCTGGACGATGTGGTGAATGGAGACAGAATAAGGAGTTTCAGGACTCTAGTGGTGATTCTCTGCTATTGTCCCTATTACCCGGCACAGTGTCTTTTTTTTTCTTTTTCTTTTTATGTTTACTCAACTGAAAGTTGGAACATAAAATGTTGGTGGAATGAATGGTGATTCTTGGGATCGGTTGAAACTGCTTTGTTTTTAGAAGTGGTTGATTAGTCGTACTAACTCTTTTAAGATTTCCCGAGGTCTAGGGTGCAGTCTAATGGGTGGAGCCGACCTGAGTTCAGGCTTTGGTTTTGGAAACACTGGAGGCTGGAGAGCAGAGTAACTGTTGGTAAAATTTGAAAACCCAATAAAGGAACTCTTGTGGTTTATTGGTGTTCTTTGTTGTTATTTGTCTTGGTAAGTGGTTGGTTTATTTATTTATTTAAAGTTTCTCTTAGGAGTGACTTAGAATTAATGTTTTTTTTGAGGGAGGGTGGTGGAATTCAGAAGAGTGGGAAATGGAGGACAAACTGCTTAACCAGGTTAATTCTTAAAGATTGTTGGGATACTCTTCTTTTTATACCTGGCAGTGGAAATACTGGGAGCTTGTTGTCCTCCTCAGTCCCCCTCTTGTGGATGGATTTCTCCTCTGCTCAGTCAGTATGCCAGCAACTTTCGATTATCAGTTCAAGTAGGATGGGCTGGCAGGGTGACTCTTTATGGCTGAGGACACTGTTTCATCCCTTTTGTTGTGGAAACCGTATAGCCTTAAAGCAGAAGAGAGGATGGCTGAAGGAACTTACCTATGTTGAGCTGCAGAGTCTTAATGAGCATCATCAGAATAGTTCTAAGAGTAGATGGTAGTGTGAAAACTACTGTCCTCCCACCTGCAACTCCCTTCCCCAAGGATTTGGTACTTTCTAGGGAAAATTTGGCTCTTTTTTTTTTTTTTTTTTCATCCTTGGTGACTTGGTCGATAGGAGTAAGCAACTTCAGATGTTTCTTCAACTACTCCGTCACTGCCACATTTGCTTATTGAACTGAGGTCTAGTGAGGAAGTACTCAGAATGGGGAAGTAGAAAAATAGCGAAATATTGATGAAACCAGCATCCTCTGCCCCTGGCTTGAGGGCTTCTAATCTTTTGGCTTTCTACTCTAGTGAACTTTGATCCCCTCCTGAAGGGGAGACATGGTGGGAAGGGGGGAGGGTACTTTGGCTGCTTGTTAGCCTCTTAGGGCATCTTGGAATGTGGGATTCGGAGGCTCCTCCCTCCTTTGGAGCCAGAAGCTCCGCACACTCACTCCCTGATGATACCTCATGCGTTAGTAGGATTGCCACTTGAATTCATTTTCCTAGCTGCTTTATGTGAACATCCAAACCACCATTGTTGGGAAGCTAGGGGAGTCCAAAGCTGAGACATTCCAGTTGTTCTAATATCCATCTTTTTCTTCTGCATTTGGCTTGGAGACTGACCTTTTATAAATATCTTCTGAAATCCACTTTCGAGTTTCCTTTGCACTTCTTGCTGAACTTAACAGAAGGCAGTATAATATTTAAATGCAGTCTTTACCTGTTTTTTTTTCCTCAGTTCATTTTTTTTTCCTAAATTTTATTTATTTTGTTGTGGAGACTATACAAACAAAACGTAACGCCAATTCAACAGTTCTACATGTACAATTTAGTGACATTGATGACATTCTTCAAGTTGTGCGACCATTCTTACCCTCCTTTCTTGAGTTGTTCCTCCCTCATTAACATAAACTCACTGACCAACCCCCCTCCAAAGGTTCTGATCTAATCTTTAAAGCTGCTGTGCAGTTTGATCTTGTGTATTGATAGTTCTTTAAAGCACTTAATGCTTAAGGCAGAATTATTTTATTTTATTTTTTTAACTGTTTAAGCCAAACTACTGTGTGGTTTTAAGATGACTTCAGGGGATTTTTTTTTTTTTCCTGTGATTTGGGTGAAAATTTACAGAGCCAATTCACTTTCCATACAACAGTTCACATATACTTTGTCTCATGACATTGAGTACAATTTACCCCAATGCAACAGCTCCCCTCCCACTTCCTCCCCATAGTAACCTCCTCCCTGTGTCCACCCCTCCATGCACTCCTGCCCCCTGAGCTGTCTCCCTGTGCATACACAGCCCTTCTTTCTCCTATAATTGTTCTCTCCAAGGAGTGTATCTATCTCAGATAAATGTTCAACTCATATGCCTGTCTTTTGTTTGGCTGGAAGCCACAGGTGTGGGTTCATTCCAGACCTGAAGGGCAGCTAGGGACCATAGTCTCAGTGGTTCCACCAGGCTCTATCAGACCAGCAGACCTGGTCCTCCCCTTTTTTTTCCCCCCAAATGATTTTGAATTTTTTTCCACATTGTTCTCCCTCTCTGTCCAGGATCTCCTACATAGATCCCCCTCCAAGTGGTTGACAGTGGTAGCTGGGCACCATCTAGTTCTTCTGGTCTCATAGTCGTATAGGCTGTGGATTGCATGGTGTATCAGTCGCCAGGACTGATTGTTTCCGTGAATCTTTGGTTTTCTTCATTCTTCTTTGCTCTGCACAAGGAGAGACCCATCTATGCATCTAGATGGCTGCTTGCAAGCTTTTAAGATTCTAGTTGCTACTCACCAAAGGAGGAGGTGGAACAGTGTTTTGTGTAGTGCATTATGCCAATTGAGCTTGATGTCCTCAGGGAATATTTTTGGTTTAAGGTTTAAAGATTACCTCGAGGCAGTAGTTGCAGAGGTTCTTTTACCCTCCATGGCTCCAAAAAGTCTAAAGTCCACGAGAATTTGAAATTCTTTACTGATTTCCCCCCTTTTGATCAAAATTCGTCTATGGAATCTGATCAAAATGTTCGGTAATGGTAGCTTGACACCATCTAGTTTTTCTGGTCTCATGGCAGAAGAGGCAGTTGTTCATGGAGGCAACTGGCCACACATTCTATATCCTCTTCCTATTCCTGACTCTTCCTTCTTCCTCTGTAGTTGCAGGTGAATAAAGACCAATTGTGCCTTGGATGGTGGCTTACAAGCTTTTAAGACCCCAGGCACTACCTAAGAACTAGGAGGTAGAGCAGAAGCACTAAATGCGTTATTAGGCCAGTTAACTAGAGTGTCCCATGAAATCATGACCCTAAACCTCCAAATCAAGGAACTAAATCCCATGAGGTGTGTTTAGTTGTATTATACATAAGCAGCTTAGCAGCTACTCTTTTTTTGGCATTATTGTGAATATAGCTATTATAAAACTTTTGCCAAGTCATCTTTTTCACAGGTATACAACTTATTGACAGCAGTTGTAGCAGTGGACTGTGCAACCCTACCCTTAATGAGATTTTTCCACAGTTAATTCTCCATCCCTCCTGCCCCTGGTAACCACTAATAAACATTGGTCTCTATACGTTTGCCATTTGCCATATAATATCTGTTCTTTTGTGATTGGCTTATTTTGCTCAGTGTAATGTCTTCAAGCTCCATCCATACTGTAGGATGTACCAAGACTTCATTTCTCCTACTGGCTGAATACTATCCTATGTATGTACCATATTTTGTTTGTCCATTCATCTGTTGGGTATTTAGATTGTTTCCACCTTCGTTGCTATTGTGAATGATACTTCCATGAACATTGTGCCCTTTTTAATACCCCTCTCCTAACTTCTCCTGGTATTTCTCTCTCTTTTTTTCTGATCTGAGAATTTTAAGACTACTGTTGAAAGAATGAGTGGGCTCTGAAAACCAGTTTTGATTCTGGCTTTGATCCCAAATTCCTAGTGTCTGGAGGGGGAGTTAGAATGTCTGATGATTGTGTGACTCGCTTATTTGTGGTGTTTGGTGGACTGAGCAGCTGCCTTTGTCACCTTCCTTTGGTTTAGATTTGCTTTCCTGCTGATTGCCTTTCTCTTTCCTTTACACAAGAGCACACACTCAGGGGAGAGGCAAATAGCCCTTTGCTCCGAGTACCACCTCCAGTTAGACTCCACCTTTGTTTACTCTGGGGCAGATAGTTCTACTCCTTTCCTTCCAACTTGCCTCTTTCCCTTGGTGAAATTTAAATTCCCCAAGGACACAGTATCTCCCTGGGTAGATAAGTTTGTGAACACAGTGAACTGGAGCATAACTTTTCTATTCCTCTTTTTTTTTTTTTTTGAGTTTCATCTATGACTTTTGTCTAAAAAGAAACCCCTGCAGTGTCTGACTGCCAGATTTAGGCTAATCCCCTCTGTCCTTGGCCCGGTTTTGCCTTAGAGCACCAGTGCTCTGTCAGTTTCTTGCCTTAAGAGGTGTGTGCTTGGGGGAATGTCTTTGGAATGGAGGATGGTATCATTTAAATAAAACTCCCATAACTGAAGCTGTTTTGTGCCATATTCTGTTGCACCCGAATTGTCACTATCCCTGTGTGCCCCTCCCCGCCCTGTGGGATCTTCCTGGTCAGTGGTGAATCCTATTATTATCTGAAAGGAAAGACCTCATGGTTTATCCTCCAAGTGGGCATAGGTGGACTGGCTGAAAAGTCAAAACCACATCTGGGCATGCTTAAATGTTTCCCAGGGCCATGGGTGATGTGGTATACAAAAGATAACTCCGCTCAGTATCTTCTTGGTGCGACTTTTTTGACCTAAAAGGGGAAGGCATTGTGCATAATTTTGACCTGAAGGAAAAGTCAGGTGTCTTCCCTTATTTCTTTAAACAGAGTATCAGATCTTGATTTGCAGGCTTTTATTTCATTCTAGAGAGAATTGATCCTCTGTGGGAGGAAGGGGGAAAAAATGAAGAAGAGCCACTGTGTGCTTCCACCCCCAATCAGGGTCTCGGAAGCTTTTGCTGGGCTCTGCATCTTGGGTTCTGCTTTTGATAGGGTCTTGTGCATGTGCATGCGCATGCTCCTGTGAGGGCTCCAAAGATGTGTTTTCTCCTCCTCCCTTTTCAGCCTTGCGAAGAATGCTATTGTAAATGTTGATTTGTGGGAGAAACTGCCCGAGCCAGCTTGTTGTCATGGAAACTATACACCCTGCCCCCATAGCCTGTTATCTTCTACTCTAGTTTGGGTAACTACTGGTGAGCTGGAGGGGGACTTGGATTTCCTAAGCTTCCTCCAAATTAGTTGCATTCTTTGTTTTTTAGTTCTAAATATCTGGTTGGGGGGCTGCTCATTGTAGGGCAGGGTTTCATAGTTCTTGCCTGATAGTCTGGCTTGCTGAAAGGTGTTATCCTAGGACATCTGTTTTCCTGGAAGAGACAAGACGAGAGAATACTTCTCTTTGTGGTGTTTTGAATAATAGGGGACAAATGGATTTTCTTAATTTCAGTTTATGTGGGCTTCTTGATTTTCCTTTTCCTGTAGCCTAGTGGTTAGATTGTACCTCTTTTCCCCCTAGTTCCTTGAACCTCCCATTTGTAGGTGGGAATTTTTGTGTCAAATAACCTGATTCTTAACAGAAGTCTTTTGGGCAATATCTCTCCCCATAGGGGCTGGTGACCCAGATTATTTCTATAGCTGCCCCCACACTTGACTGCTAGAAGGAAATCAGGGTAATAGAATTCAGGCACAATCTGGGCTGGAGAAGAGAGATCATGTTCACTAGGCACTTGGATAAGCATCTGAACTGGGTAGTATGCAGGGCAGATTAAATTCTTATAAGATTGTGCCTGTCTGCATACCTGCCACCAGTAAAGGTGTGGGAAAGAATGGTCTTAGGAGAGAGGCTTTTCTACCATTATAATTCATCCATGTGTGGGCTGCCTCCTCCTTTCCTTCTTTCTTGTTTAAATATTAGGGAGGAGCAGGGGATTACTTCAATCTGGCCTGTGCCTTACTGCAGGGCAGCACCAGGGACAGGATGATATAAGCTATACTGGAGGGTGAAGCTAATGAGGTGACTAGAGGAATAGAAAGGAGACAACTCTAGAAGGTTGGAGGAATAGCTTGAGTATGGAGGAAACATTCTCTATGCTTCTTTTTTTCTTCTTCTTCTTATGGTACTGTCGTCAAAGCAGATAGTTTTAGCCAGAAGAAACTCCTCCTTGTCAGCTTTAAAAATAAAAAAAAAATTAGGTGCAAGTTGGAGGGATGGGGAATAGGTACCCCGTTTCTTATTTATTTATTTTTTTTTTTCAGTTTCTATTTTTTTCTAATTCCACCCATAGATCCCAGCATGGAAGGCTATTATGGAAGACAGTATTTCCTTGTGTAGTCATCCTTCTGGTATGTTAGGGTAAAATGATCAGAGGGTTAACAAGTTAGTTAAACAGCAAATAATAGATAAGCCAAGATTCATTCTTTAAGAAACCTTGCTTATTTATTTTTCCACCTTATGAGACACTTAAAGTTACTGAAGGGTAAGACACACCTTCAAGTGAGAGTTCAGAGAGGAAAAACCCTTCACTAACAACTTTCCTGACTCCAGTCTGTTCAGGAACATGCTGGTACTGAATCCAGAAAGGGGGTGGTGCTGTCACTAGGCTAGTCAAAGGAAATGAATTTTAAAACACTCTTCCTGTGGAACATACGGGAATTTGTTGATGGGAAGGGGAAGACATACATATAATCATGTCTGCCAGACCCACTACTGTCAAGTTGGATCTGACTCAAAGCGACCCTCTCTGGGTTTCCGAGGTGATATCACTACGGAAGTAGGTTGCCCAAACCTTCCTTCCGAGGAGTGGCTGGTAGATTTGAACTACCAGTCTTCTGGTTATCAGTCAAATGCCAGAGCACATCGGAATCTTGAGTTAAGACAAATTCTACCTTGCTAGTCTCTGGCCTTTTCATGGTAGTCGGCCCTAATCTTACTGTCTTAATTCTACTTCTTTTCACCATGCCATCTGCTTCCCCTTTCTGTTCTTTCATTCAAATGCAGGCTGAGGCTGAGGTGGCCTCCTTGAATCGTCGGATCCAGCTGGTTGAAGAGGAGCTGGACCGCGCTCAGGAGCGCCTGGCCACTGCCCTGCAAAAGCTGGAGGAGGCAGAGAAAGCTGCTGATGAGAGTGAGAGGTGTGTGGAGAGGGGTCTTGATGGAGTGTGGGTTTCAAAAGAAATTCAAAATGGCCCTGACCAAGATTTCTTTATAGACCTGTAGTAACCTCTCTTGCAGCATCTTTCTTTCTCTTGTGGATATTCTCACCCCTTGAAGACAGACAGGAAAAGTTACCTAGATCATGTGACCCCCCCCCCTTTTTTTTTAAATTGTGGTTTGGGTAAAAGTTTACAGAGCAATTTCATTTTTCAGCACAGCAGTTCATACACATTTAGTCTCATGACATTGACTGCAATTTCCCACAGTGTAACAGTTCTTTTCCCACTTCCTCCCCATAGTTACCTATTCCCTGTGTCCTTCCCTCCCATGCACTCCTGCCCCCCGGGTGTCTCCCTGTGCATACACTGCTCTTCTGTTTTCTCATGATTGATCTCTCCAAGGAGTGTGTCTATCTGATGTAAATGTTTAGCCCAAATTCTGTCTGGTCTTTGGGTAGAAGCCACAGGAGTGAGTTCAATTCCAGAGCTAAAGGGTAGCTAGGGCCTATAGTTTCGGGGCTTTTACCAGGCTCTATCAGACCAGCAAACCTGGTCTTTATATATATATATATAATTTTGAGTTTTGTCCCATATTGTTCTCCCACTCTATCCAGGATGTTCTACTCAGATCCCCCTCCAAGTGGTTGACAGTGGTAGCTGGGCAACATTTAGTTCTTCTGGTCTCCATTTAGTTCTTCTGGTCTCATGGTCATATAGGCTGAGGAGCACATGGTCTACCAGCCACTTGGACTAATTGTTTCCATGCATCTTTGGTTTTCTTCATTCTTCTTTGCTCTAGACGAGGAGAGACCCATTGTTGCATCTAGATGACTGCTTGCAAGCTTTTAGGATCCCAGTTGCTACTTACCAAAGTAGGATGTGGAACAGTGTTTTTGTGTAGTATGTTATGCCAATTGACCTTGATGTCCCCTAGGACCATGGTCCCAAGCCCACAGGTCCAGCTATTCAGTCCCTCCAGGTAGCTGGCTATGGCCAAGAAGTCACCACAACCTTGTCTCTCATCAGCTCTACTATATACCTGGACATTGTTATAGAACATACAAATACACTTATAGAAGCATTGTCTGCCAACCCTATACACGGTTGTGGGCACATCCCCCCCTGTCCAGAAATACCTGATCGTTCAGCCTGTCCACCCATCTCTCCACCCATAGGTCAATGTTTGCTATCAATCCTGTGACCCTTTTGTAATTGGTATTTTCTATAAATTGACATGATCCATAAATGGGTTCACTAGTATGGATGCTGCTTAGTGGATCATAAACTTTCTTTTGTGAAATGAGTCTCCCTAAAGCAGTGGTTCTCAAAGTGAGGTCCTAGACCAGCAGCATCAGGAACACCTGGGAACTTAATAGAAATGCAAATTATCTGTCCCCAACCCTGATTTACTGAGTCTGAAATTCTGATGTAGAGCCTAGTAATCTAATTTAACAAGCCCTCTAGACTCTAGCTCTTCCTGTTAGAATCATTTTTGTGGTAGGTAGCTTTGAAAATATCTGGATGCCTGAATCCCACCTCAGTTCAATGAAATCAGAATCAATTGTGATAGGGGCTTGGGCAGTGATGTCTTTAAAGTTCCTTTGTTAATTTTTATGTGTGGTCAGGATTGAGAACTGAAGTCCTTAAATGAAATCACAGCTCATCTTTGTAGAAATAAACGATTGGCTCCTTGTTACTTGTGAGTTAAGCTGGAACAAAGGTGTGTAACTACTTGCATGGGATTTTAAGTTGCCCTATTGGGAGCACATTAATAGTGCAACTGTGACAATGACTACCAAGTTCTAGCAAGTGAAGTAAAAAAGTAGAATGCTCTATAGATGTGGGGATTGGAGATTTTGCTTACATACTATGTAAAATATTAGATTATCTCTAATGAGTAGGACTTGAAGTGGAGAGACTGACGTTTTGCTTTATACCCTTATACCACAGACGTGGATATTTAATTTTTTCATAAGCAGGTATTATTTTTATAAATAATAATTTCTAGACCCATAATAACCTCTCTCTTAGAGGATCTTCTTTCCATCTGTTCTGGATAGTCCGTTCCTTTAAAGACAGATAGGAAGGGTTACCTAGACCCTGTGACCATTTTGTAATTGATGTTTTCTATGAAGTGACCAATTTAAAAAGAAAAAGTAATTGTGAACAAAGCCAGCTAAATTAAGGGAGTGATGCCATAGGATTTCCTTTTCAGTGGCAAGCACAGCAGCATGGGCTTGAAAGGGTTCAACCCTGGGCCCCTTGGAATGGAGCTGATGACAGACTCCTCAGGCCACATTTATCCTTATTGTTTCTGGCAGAGGTATGAAGGTTATTGAAAACCGGGCCTTAAAAGATGAAGAAAAGATGGAACTCCAGGAAATCCAGCTCAAAGAGGCTAAGCATATTGCAGAAGAGGCAGACCGGAAGTACGAGGAGGTAAGGTACCTTCTGTTTCTCTCCCTCTCTTCAGTGATGCCAAGCTTCTCCAAAGAGTCATTCATAAGAAGAAAATAATGCTTTCCTTGCCTCACTGAGGTATAGCCTGGGTCTTTTTTGGTAGGTGGCTCGTAAGTTGGTGATTATTGAAGGAGACTTGGAACGTACAGAGGAACGAGCTGAGCTGGCAGAGTCGTGAGTATCTTGCTCCCCAAACCTTTCATACCATTCTGTCCCTTCCCCTTTGGCTTGGGCACTAATGTGAATGAACCAGCATTCCATCAACTTTGTTAAATAAGGCCTAGAGGGTGGGTGTTATCTTAGTGCTTTTTTAGACCCTACAGATGAAAGAAAGACCCTTTCTTTCTCTTTTTGTGACTACTGATAAATGAGGCTTCCTTGTTTTTTTGGAGGGAAGGTTTACAAATTGAGGGGAAATACAGACTAATAGATGGGATACAATTAACTGGAAGACTCTATTGGGGCCTTATACCTGGGGTCTGTTACTCCTTGAAACATTGAAAAGTTGCTCTGACTTAAGATCTGGTCACTTTGCCGATTTGCTAGGGAACTTCAGGGCAGGGGCAGACATGAACTGTCACCCTGTTGACACCTCCTGGGCCTTGTATAACAAAGGCAGTGCTGATGCATATGTTTGTGCTTCCCTTGCATTCTCTTCTTCCAGACATGACATACCATGACCATGGTCGTGTTTTCTTTCCATTGTTTGAGTTTTGTAATTTTCTTTTTCCATTTTGCTGCTTGTTTTCCTGCTGTTTTCCCTTTTGACCTTTCTCCCTCCCCACAACCTGGCTTGTGCCATCCCCGTGACTATCACTAACAGCCGTTGCCGAGAGATGGATGAGCAGATCAGACTGATGGACCAGAACCTGAAGTGTCTGAGTGCTGCTGAAGAAAAGGTACTAACCATTAAACCCACAAAGACGTTATGTGTATGGTGTGGTTTTGTTTGGTTTTGTTTTTGTTTTGCAGCTGCCTCCCTTCCACTGGTTGGTTTGTTGAGTGCTTTCTCATCTCTTCATGGAATGCTCCATTTCTTCCACTTACTTGGCATTTTTTTCATCTCTTTTTTTTCCTAGTTGCTTCACTGCCTCTCCACAGGGTCTTTCCTTCCCTTGAGTGATTTTGGGGGATTGTTTTGATTGGGCACCCATTCCCACCTCCACTTCAGGCAGCAGTTCCACCTTATTCCTGGTAGTGATTTCTCTCAAATGTTCTTCCTTTATTGGTATCCAGACATTCTGAGTCCTAGCCCAGGAGGGTCCAGCTCCTAACATGCTCTGTGGTAGAGGGAGGAGGGTTGATGCTTGCTCAGATAACCTGGGAACTTCTCTGCCCCAGGATGTCTTTCAACTCTCTCTACATATAGGTTCAATTCATGTCTATGTGTCTCTCTCTCTCTCTTCTCTTTTTTTTATTCTCTTCCTTTGCCCCTTTCTTCTCCTGCAATATTTAAAATATTCACAGTAAGTGTTCTGAGCTGGAGGAAGAGCTGAAGAATGTCACCAACAACCTCAAGTCTCTTGAGGCTCAGGCGGAGAAGGTAGGGGCTGGTTTGTGAAAGTGACAGGCTTTGGGGCCTAGGCCCAGCCCTTCCTTTGCTGAAAGGCTGGAGTGGAGGTACCCATTCATATAATCCATGGGAAGTGCTCTCTTCCTACCTGCCTTCCCTCTATCCAGATTCTGGGTTTAATACTAATTGTTGTGACTTTTGATTGCTTTAGTTAAAATAACTTCATGGTCTCAGGTGACTGGACTCATGTTCTGCTCAGGTTGATACTGTTGTAGTGAAGACAGACGGGAGCAACATGTAGAATCAGGTCTGAGACCTAATGAGCAATCAAGGCAGATGGCTTTTCTTTATCATTTTGGAACTGTTTCAGCCATGTGACCTTGGGGTTACTGCTCCTGTTCATTGAACAGGAGGAAGGAAAACACCTCCCTGGGTAGTTCTGACTTAGAGCAAAGCTTAAGTCCATTTAAAAAAAAAATAATAAAGGATTCAGATCTGAGTGTATCATGGCCTTAAGTACATAGATAAGTAGATTGTAAGAACCTACTGTACAGAAATGAACTTTGCTATTTCTAATGGCCCATTCAGTACATTAAATCATAGAAGATATTTGATGTGAGAGTGAATGTGAGTGTATGTTGGGGGGATATTTTTGGTGTAAATCATTTCTACTCTGAAATTCTTACTCTGCTTCTCTTACAGTACTCTCAAAAAGAAGACAAATATGAGGAAGAAATAAAGATTCTTACTGATAAACTCAAGGAGGTGAGCTGAGGGGGACGATAGAGAAGGACCCAAAACATTCAGAAGTGGTGATGAGGGATTAATATGGATTTAGACTGGTTGGCTTTGGTTCTCAGAAGACTAGAAGGTGGAAGAAATGGACATCCTTCTTGTGTCCCGTCTGTCTCCTTTTCTGACTGGTTTCATATTTCCCCAGGCAGAGACCCGTGCTGAGTTTGCTGAGAGATCGGTAGCCAAGCTGGAAAAGACAATTGATGATTTGGAAGGTATGGAATCTGGGAGAGGGGTTAAAATAGAAACATAGAAAAGAAGATGTTACCCATTGACTGTTAAGCTCTTTTCCTAGACACCAAAAGGGAGTTGGTGATGACTTGGCATGTATCCTGTGCCACAGCTAGGTGAAGTGTGTCAAACTCTAGAATTGGAATTTTACGTTTAATCTTTTCCTTTAAAAAGGCTTCACCTCATAGTCTAAAATTGCCCTCTTTTCCTTTGAGGAGATTGGTAATTGCTATATTTCCCTCTAATTTGATAGTCATTTTTAAATCTTTAGCCTGTGGGTTGAATTGGAAGCCATGTTTTCAGAAGACAACAAGAACACGTGTTGCCCCATGAGAACTGTCAATCCCATTCACCACTCAAGTTGTGGGGACCTCCCCCAGATAGGAAGCTATGTGATGACTATCTCGGAGCTGACAAATACCAGAGACTTTACTCCCCACAAATTGTCAACTGTGTTCACTCTGACAAGGGAAAGTGTATGTTGCTTTGAGAACTATTGGAATTTGTTCTTTTGGTTCCTTCTGGGTAGCAGCTACCATTACTTTGGGAGAATTTGGAGAGGCAATTCTCCACAGGTTTGGGGAGGCAACCTTTGAAACAAGGGACCAAGAATAATGGTCACACATGGTAGGCAGAGAAGAAGCATCTGAATATTGATATACAGTTTCTCCCTTTTCTGTTTTCATTAAATTAAGTGTTGCCAGTGCTAGGAAGTGAGTTTATTGGGTGGGAATGGCATCTCCCTGAGTGTATTTGATAATAAGAATTTCTAGTCCCAACTGTTCCCAGGTTCTTATCCCTTGCTGCAATCAATTAGAGATATCAAGAAGTCCAGTTGGTCCTAGAGGACAGTGGATCTGAAAGTGGCCAGTCATGGTTGCCAGTATAAGACTTCTTCTAACTGTGGTACTGAGACCCAAGTTTACACTTTTCCTATTTTCTAATGATTCCCTCTCTCCATCTGCTTCTGATACCTTTCACTCTGTCCCCTCATACCTCCCTGTGGTTCCTGTGCCTGTCCAGATGAACTCTATGCCCAGAAACTGAAGTACAAGGCCATTAGCGAGGAGCTGGACCACGCCCTCAATGACATGACCTCTATGTAACTATCTGATAGCAGAGTGGGGCTGGGCTTTTGGTTTGTGGGTGGGTGGGGGGACAGGCTATGCACAGTGTGCTTTGGTTTTGTCCTCTGGAAAGTAGAATCTATCTTTAAAACATTGGTGCTGGTTACTTGTTTGGCAAAAGCTGGGGAGGCATTTAATATTGGATTAGTAGTAGAACCCTGATCTATTTAAGGTAAATGCTTTCTATTCATAGTCCCTTCATATACAATACTTTTTCTATTCATTTTTCCAAAGGGACAAAGCAAATTTCTCCAAAGGGCCCGAAGAGCCAGTGACTTGGGCTATACCAGATAAAAATTCAGACCTCCTGGTTGTTTTGTGCCCTGATACTAAAGTTCAGGAGAACTTTTTTTTCAGGTATTTCCAAGATAGGAAATACCAAATTCACTTAAGAATCGAGCTGAGTCCCAGAAGTAAGCCAGGTAGTAAGCAGCACCAAAGAGATTTGTTGGGGCCTTCATCTGTTTGCTGTGGATCCCTGATCCTTGATGCTAATCTGCCTCTTTGTATCTCTCCCACTAACCCTGATAAGAAGCCAAATGTCTCAGGCTGTACTGTTTAGCTCCTTTTTTTTAAAAAAAAAAAACCACTCCTGCTGCCTCCTCTTCCTTTTTCTCCTCTTCCTTTTTCCCAGATATATGCTGGTCTATATTGATGCTGGTCCTTCTCACTTAGACTCCTTCTTACTTTTTCATACAGATAATTATCACCGTTTCTGCCCTGTTCTGGATCTGCCCCCTTTCCTGGGGACCCAACGCCCCACTCTCACTCTGGATTCCATTTGGGTCAGCCTGGCTGGTCCCCAAGGCATTAGAATGGGTGGGGGGGCACAAAGCAACTTGTGTATTCTCTTCCACCCCCACCCTAAATTAAAATGTTGAGCTGCTGGAAGCCTCATACCACCCTGCATTATGTGTCATTGACAGAGCTGCTGCTGTCCCTAAGAAGGAGCCTTGGGGGTGTGGGGAACAGCTATCGGAGGTTTTCCCCTCCTCTGACTGATGTAATCAAAGCCACTTTTGTGTGTGTCTCTTTTTTCTTGACATTTAAACTCAGCTGATCTGAGTCTACCAAAATGGTGGACTAGTAGAAGTTCGTTAGGTTGGGAGCTCTAATCTTACTCCTCATTCTGAACAAGAACATCTGAGTGCTTTACTTCCAGGTTCTTAAATCATCTTGCCTGTAATGTTTCTATCCTCTCTTCAGATTTTCTTTCTTTGAAATAGGAAAGTTGAGAGACCATAAAAGTGCCTCCCAATATTTAACTCTACTCTTTTACCAGTGGTTCAGATGGTATATCCACAGAATAATACATTACCACTGGAATTGACTAAATACATCATCCCAGATCACGGAAAAAACACAATCGATAATATTATTTTTATTAGTTTTACTTTTTCTTCTGTAACCTTTCTTACATATTTGGGACCTGTTACCATTTGTCAGCCAGCACATGCTAGTGGGCTATAAAACAAGTAATAAATAAATGAATATTATTGGAAAACTAAAACAACCAGTCATGCATATTTCACGTTATGTGTGCATGGGAATATATTATATGCCCCCCAAAAAAAACAACCAAATCCACTGCCATTGACTTGATTCCAACTCACAGTGACCCCCATTGGGTTTCCAAGGTGGTGAATCTTTACAGAAATAGATTGTCCTATCTTCCTTCCATGGAGCAGCTGGTGGGTTTGAATTTCAAACCTTCTCTGGTTAGCAGTCAGATGCCTTAGGCACTGTGGTACCAGAGCTCCTTCATATTACATATATACATATGGTAAGTGCTAGTAAAATTGCTCCTGGTTCATATTGTGGCGTTAAGTATCAACATTTCAGAAGTCCTTACTCTAATTTACACAGCAGAGATGGTCCAGTATGGATAGTGTAGCTGTCAATTGTACTTGAAGCACCTGAGTGTTACCCATTTATTACTTAAGTTTTTTAGCAAAGTATGTATTTAGAATGTGCTTTTCTTTTACATGGATACAGCCCAGTAAAGCAGTTTTTCTGAATCTTAAAATTTTAGATCTTATATCAAATTCAAGTTTTTCTCCTGTCCATACCATTTCCTTACATCACATAGTCTTTGAGATTAAGGCACAGATTCATTTATTCAGCTGCCATTTATTGGTATCTACTAGGTACAGGGTATTAACATTTAGAGGCAGTAATCAAAGATAGAGACACACCTCTACTCTCAGGATGCTAATAGGAGAGAGACTGTACATAAATCTAAAGATACTGTATGATGAAGGGGGGAAGAGATGAGTTCCAAAAGATTGGAATTTTGACAAGCAGAATTTGGTTGCAGCTTTGTGGATATTGTGCATTCTGGTCAAAGAGAAGAGAAAGAATAAAGACATAGAGATGGGGAAGACACAGTAGGTATAAAGCTAGATTTACGTAGAGAAGGGGTGTAAGGGTGTGTGCTGAAAGCAGGCTAGAGAGTTTTAAATTTCATTTTTGATAGGTGATATGCATGCCACTGGAGATTCTGAGTCGGTAACGTGGTCTGAATAGCTTAAGGAGTTAGTGTGGCAGCTGAGTTACGAATGTATTAAAAGGGAGAAGTTAGTGATCAGTTAAGATTCCCACATTTGAATCATTTGGGTGCCACCTTGCATGGCTTTTGCCCTATTCAAGTGCTGCCTATATTGCTTTTCTTCAAACTTACTCTTGTTCCTAAATATGTTTAATTATTCTCATTCTAAGAAACTCTATCTTGAAATCAAAGGTTTGAAGGACTCTTTTTGTTTTTTTCCCTAATACACATTAAATGTAGCTAATACAAGTTTATGAATGTATACTACCTGAAATCTCACATACCACTGGCAGTGAGTATGCCACATTTTGGGAAATACTAGGTTAGCTTACTGCATATCCGGGTTAAACTAGAGTAACAATAGCAAGATGGGATTGAAGATGGGAATTTTGAAGTGTCTGGCTGTTAGATGCAAGGATGAAAAGTCAAGGATGACTGGTTTTAGCCAAGGGAAATGGTGATATTACAGATGTAGGGAATTCAGGTGGTCTTAGTTTGGAAAGGTAGAGAAGAATATGAATCTGAAAAAGTAACAGGTAATCCAGATGAAAATTAAAAACAGTGGGGGTTTGAGGAGGAGAAGTTGACAGGGAAAAAATTTGGGTATTCATAGAGATGGCAGGCAGTTTTATTTGTGGGAGTAAATAAGAACCCTAAAGCATAGTTAGGCGCTCTGGTGGCATAGTGCGTAAGGCATTTGACTGCTGACCAGAAGGCTGAAAGTTCAAACCTACCAGCCGCTCCTTGGAAGGAAGGTTGGGCAATCTACTTCTGTAGTGATACCACCTCAGAAACCCAAGGAGGGGTCACTATGAGTCAGATCCAACTCAGTGGCAGCGCTTTTGTGTTTTTGCGTTTTAAAGCATAGTTGCAAATATTAGAAAAGGAAAGAAAGAAGCAAGGAGGAAATCTGTGTAGAGGAGGAAGCCAAATAGAACTGGTTGGAGAGATAGAAGGATGAATTATTTGGGTATTTTTAAGCTTTGAGGGCTGGATGATTTCCATTGGTTGTCAAAGGCAACAGACAAGTGCAGAAGGAAGATAACAAGATGGGACATTTGTTAATACCTTAATAATCTGAGAGTGCATTTCGAGCATTAATGTAAAGGTAGGGAGCCATATTTCAGTGGGCCGAAGAGTTGATGGAAAGAAAATAAAGGTAATAAATATAGCCTTTTAGAGAAATGCTATCCAGTGGAACTTTTGGCTGTGATGGAAATACTCTGTAGCTGTGCTGTCCAGTATAGTAGCCACTAGCCACATGTGGTTGTTAAGCACTTAAAGTGTGGCTAGTGTGGTTGAGGAGCTGAATTTCCCGAAGTATTTAATTTTAATTTAAAAATATCCACATGTAGCTAGTGGTTGCTGGATCGGACAGTGCAGATCTAGATAGCACTAGATGGAAGGAGTTGGCTTTGGCACAGAGAAAAGCTTCTTCAAAAGCAAAGAAGTATGAGAGGGTGGAGAGAGACTGGGAGAAAGCTGAAGCTTCAGTCTTTTCCCGTGGACGTGAATAATATGAATAAGGGTAGGGATCAGCAAACCAGAGTAGTAGGTTGTTAATGTTATTTGCCTCGAGTCGGACCTGACTCATAGGGACCCCTCCTTGGGTTTCCGAGGTGGTATCACTATGGAAGTAGATTACCCAACCTTCCTTCCGAGGAGTGGCTGGTGGGTTTGAACCGCCGCCTTCTGGTTAGCAGTCAAGTGTCTACGCTACCAGAGCTCCCAGAGTAGTAGAGGGAAATGTGAAACACTTTGTCATGCTGAACTCACGCTTTCATTTAATGAAGAAGCCATCCTGTGTTCTTGACACTTGATCAGCTATGGAGATGGGGATCAAGCTTCTTAGTGAATCTCAGGGCAAAGCACTTGACTTCCTAGGTCAAGGCTGATGTGTTAGATTCCATTCTTCCCTTCTTATCGTTGTTGGAATGAGAAACAAAACGTTGGACCCTGTGTTATCTAATCATGGAACTGACCTATTATGTTGGATAGCCTTAGATTATCCCTACCCTGATTTTCCTTTAAGGAAGTATTGGTTGAATACTCTCCAGCCTTGAAATTAAGGGGGAAGTAAAAAAATCAAAAGTAAAATCAGTTAAAACTTTTCTTCCTTCATTCCTTGGACTTTGAGGCTTTAAAGTTGATTGAGTTCCTATACTCTGAGACCCCTCTCCCCCCTTTCCTGTGACAGAATGAAATTGACTTGATTCAGACCCATGAAGCCTAAAGATGTCTAGCATCCATGAGATTGGTCCCCTAATAGGGCATGATTAAAAGAAACAGCGGGAGCTCTGGTAGCGTAGTGCCTAAGGCATTTGCCTGCTAGCTAACCAGAAGGCTGGCGGTTCAAACCCACCAGCCACTCCTCAGAAGGAAGATGAGGCAATCTACTTCCATAGTAATACTGTCTCGGAAACCCAAGGAGGGGTTGCTATGAGTCTGGTCTGACTCGACGGCACATAACAACAACAAAAGGAACAACACACCAAAGAGGTTCTCTGCCTTGCCTTTATGTTTCTGCTATTAGATCTGGGAACCAAGAAGTTTTAATTGATATTTAATTGATGACTAAATATTCCTGAATATTTAGTCATCAGGGAGGACAGAGTTAGGAACCTTACTAAGTTAAAGGTGAGAGGAAAAACTCACCTGTCTTCCTGACCTTGTGCAGTTTTCAGAGAATTCTGCCTTCTGAAATTTAGTCAGGCAATAAAATGGCCTCATTCCTTCTCTGTCTCTTTATTTCTTTCCCTAAATGAAAGAAAACCCTTATTAACCTAGAATGTTTTGAAGGGTAAGATCCTGGTAACACCCTTCTTTGCCAAGATAGGAATGGGAGTCACACAAACTATGGGTTATGGATACTGCAGAAGAGCCAGGCTATACATGAAATCTGTATATAACACCACATCACAGTATGAGACATGAGAGTTCAACACAGATTTGAATGCCTGCTATTTGTCAGGGATATGCCATTGAATAAGGCAGCCCCAACCTCTGGACTCATAGAGCTCATAGACTGGTAAAGTGTTTCTCAGTTGTGGACTTTTGGCATTTAGGGTGGTGGGACAGTTCCTGATTGTACAGAACTATCCTATTGATTGCTGACCCATGTCCAGTAAATTTCTGTAGGGCCTGCTAGTCATTGTGACATCTAAAACCTGTCCCCATACATTTTCAAATGTGGGAGGGGCAATACTACTCTAACAAAGAACCTCTGGTTTAATGGGAAGGACAATTTTTAAAAATTACCCTTGTTCTCTTCCTTAATATAACTGTTATTTTTGGCCACTCCCTCCCAGGCTTTTTTATACAGATACATTTTTTTGTTTTGATAGTATACATAAAGTCAAAGTATCATTGGGACCATCCTGGCCCCTAACTGCTGGGTAGAACCAGAGAAACCTCAGGCCAGAAGGAAAGGTGCCTGAGCAGTGCCCACAGTCAGCCCACAGATGTAATTGATTTTAAGACAGGAAAGTACCTTTTGAGGCCCTTTTGAGTATACTGAAGTCTTGAGACCATTTTGAAACAAACTTAAAACACAGAAAGAAACTTGTGAATCTCAGAGGCTGGTAGTGGGAGATCAGGACCATCTCCCTTGTGCTCGTCATATGGATTTGGATGCTGTATACTCTGACATGCACTCCAAGTAGAAAATCTAGATAAAGCCAGTGGACTAGAGCACTTAATTACTTGTATCAGGAGTACTGTTGGCTATACAATACAGCTTTGTTGTTGTTGTTGTTGTTGTTATGTGCCATCGAGTCAGCCCCGAGTCAGCCCCGACTCATAGCGACCCCTCCTTGGGTTTCCGAGGCAGTATCACTACGGAAGTAGGATTGCCCAACCTTCCTTCTGAGGAGTGGCTGGTGGGTTTGAACCGCCAGCCGTCTGGTTAGCAGGCAAGTGTCTTAGCCACTATGCTACCAGAGCTCCAATACAGCTTAGCAGTAGCTTAAATAAATGAGATTTCTTTTACTCACATAATCTGGCCATGAGCAGCTGTTGCTTGATGTAGCTGGGGTTCAGATGTTTTCTTGGCCTTTCTTCTTAAGGTTGACATACGGTTTCTGCAGCTCTAACCATCACATCTATATTCACAAAAAGAAGGAAAGCAAAGGTTTCCCAGAAGCCTTTAGCAGACTAGCCCTTACATCTCATTGACTAGAACTTGATCATATGATCACTGCTAGCTGCAAGGGAGGCTGAATAAGCAGAGAACAAGATAGTCTTGACTGGCTTAATACCAGTAATTTGTCTGCCTTGGGGCTGAGCACACTGTTGAACTTAATGGGCTTGTGGTTGTTAGAAATGAAGGAAAAATTGGGTATTTATTGAGTAGGCCACCAAGAGGAGTCTGTCGTATCATATAACACCTACAACGAGAAGCATTAATAGGTCTAAATTGAGTAGGTGCAATGATACTTACCCCAAACTACCTTTAATAATGTTGTGTTGAATGCTTTTTTACAGAAGAGTGTTCATCTGTTCACTTTGATTTTTTTCATACCTGGATTATTGTAAATGGATTTCTTCAAAGCCAACTATATATTCCTTCCTTTGCCTTGTCTCAGTTTCTCAGCCCGGGAAGTAAACATTGTAAAGGAGGTCTTTTTTTTTCTCCCTAAAAATGTTGTCCTAGCAACTTGTCAGTCTGATTATTTTTTTCCTTTGTTGGTCCGGTCATCTTTCCACCAACTGACTGACGCTTAATGCCTTCTGTCTCAATCCTCCCTTGCATCCGTCCTGCCTTAGAGATGCATGTTAAATACACCAGCTAGTTAAGAGACTCAAATTTTGCTTCTGGTACTCTACTAACCTCCCCTTTTTCTCTTTCTCCTCCTCTTTTTCCTCTCGTTTTCCCTCCTCTCCGTTGCTGCTGCAGAGCGTCTCTACAGCCAACTTGAGCGAAACCGCCTGCTTTCTAATGAGCTGAAGCTAACGCTGCATGATCTGTGTGACTGATGGGCAGGGTTCACTGATGCCCATTAAACTGAGCTTACTGCTCACACCACTGACCCGGACCCCAGTACAAAGCTGATTGCCTTTTTAAAATTTATAATTTTGCCCTAACTAAACCATAGCACTAAGTTGCTTTTTAATTGGGCAGTTAGAATATTACCTGATACTTTATAATGTACTTTGTTTTTTAAGCATTTTGTAAGTTGATTTCCTCATAGCATTGTAAAGTTGGGATAGCCAACACATGGCATTTCTAACCCTTTTCATGAGATGATGGGTGATGAAGGGAGGGACCTGAGAGAGTTAAGTGTGCTAATACTTGAGAGAGTTTTCTGTTTTTTCCCTTTATTTGCGCTTTCACTTGTGCACTGACTGTAGTATGTGTTTCCCTGCATGGATGTTTTCTAACAATAAAAGGACTGACTTGACAAGATGTTGTAACTGCTTCATCTGCAGGCTCCAGGGATGGGTCCTTATGACTGGGTGGAAACAAAGGGAAGGGAAGGAGAAGGGTGTGGGATATGAATGTGGGTCTGTGTTACCATCACCTCCTCTGATTCAAAGATTTATTTTCCCCACCTCCCTTAGAGCATGAGTGGTTTGCTTGCTGGGCGGATTAGATTCTTGTTCAACCAGTGGTTTTCTTTCTGACATCCTTTTTCTGGTTGTGTGTTTGATAGCAAGTAACTGTTAGGCTAGTTCTGGACAGTAAAATAAAACACATAGCTGCCATCGAGTCGATTCTGACTTATGGTGACCCCATGTGTGTCACTAGAACTGTGCTCCTTAGGGGTTTCCATGGCTGATATTTTTCGAGATAGTTCTCCAGGCTGTTCTTCCAAGATGGCTCTGGGTGGACGCAAACCACCAACTTTTTGATTATCAGCCGAGTATTTACCCTTTGCACTTCCCAGGGACTCTAATTCTGGACAGTAGCTCTGCAAAAATCTCAGGATTTTGGTTACATGAGCCTATGAATGGGTAGTGTTCTTAGCTTTGTTTTGTTTAGAAATACTTTGACTTAGCTGTTGGGGGTTCTTTAATTTCCCCAGCCAATTTCTTTTCCTTCTACTTTTGGGAGAGTGTCTATGGTATATGAAGGTCTTCCTTATACTCTTTTGAATTTGAGATTCTGGGATTTCTATTGATAGGAATTTGCTCATCCTTATTCTTAATGATCAAACTCCATTGAGCCATTTTTAATCGGCATTTTCAGGCCCATGCCTTAAAGAGTTGGATGGCTAAAGTTTAAGGCCCGTTCCTACAGTGACTGAAAGCTGAAAGCCTTGCTTGGGTGTGGGAGGGAAAGTAAATGACTGATAAGGTCCCCAGCACCCTCCCCCAGGAAATACGCCAGTACCTGCAACTTCAATAGGCAGGCCAGAAGCCTTGCAAAACCAAATGTGCAATAACTGGCTTCTGTGGCTGAGAGAAAGCAGCTGTTTTTATTATAATCTGCAGCTCCCCTGTACCAGGAGCAATTCTCAGAGAGTGGGCAGAACTTGAAATTTGTTACTAGTTTTTGTAACTTCTCTCCTTTACCCCCATTAGATAAACTGAAATGCACCAAAGAGGAGCACCTCTGTACACAAAGGATGCTGGACCAGACTCTGCTTGACCTGAATGAGATGTAGAACACCCCAGTCCCGCCCTGCGGCTGCTCCTCCCCTTGACCCCGACTCCGCCTGAGGCCAGCCTGCCCGAAGCTGACCTTTAAACTGAGGGCTGATCTTTAACTGGAAGGCTGCTTTCTCCTCTCGCTATCTACCCTCCATTCTTTCCCCATCATATCTTTTTTTTTTCCTGCCAACTATCTCTGCCTCTCCCCAGAGATTCCAGCTGGGCTAGGGGCTGAGCATCTTTGGGAACAACATTTAAGGGAACGTGAGCACAGTGCAAGTGTCTTTAAAAGCATGTTGTGATGTACACATTTTGTAATTACCTTTGTTGTTGTAGCAGCCATTTGTAAAACATTCCAAATAACTGCACAGCTCTGAAGCAGCAATCTAATCCCTTTCTCACTTTTGAAAGGTAGCTTTTCAGCTTAATGCATATTGCCCTCTCCATAGAGGAGGGAAAGAAGTATGAGCCTGCCTTACTGAGAGCCAGACACAGCCAAGGGAAAGACTCCCACTATGGAAACCCTCATTGCTCTGTACAAAACACGAGCCAAACCAGAAAGGTGATTCCAGGAGGAGTCAGCCAAAAAAAGTTTTTAATGTGCTGTTCAGGTTTTCAGCTTTAAGGTATCTTAGAACAAGGTGATTTTTATTTTATTTTACTTTTCACCAGAAGTGACCAAACAAATTAAGACTTCTGTCTGTGATCAAATCATTGCCCCATCCTTCTCTACCCTCTTCCCAACTACTCACAGAATGGATCATGTGCCCCTGTGGTGGGGTGACCACTTTAATTGCTCGCCTTCCTCCTTTTTAAAAAGATAGAAAAGAAAATTAAGTGTCTGGCACTGATTTAGCCATATGAAACTCATCTCGTCACCCTATTCTGGGTCTGAAGCTGCTGTCCCTCAGAGTGCCATCTCAAGAGTGCTTTGTACTAGTCAGTGCTGGAGAAATCTTGAATATCTATGTACAAAACTTTTTTGAAATTTTATATTACTTTGAAACTTTGCTTCTTTGGGGTTGGGGTGCACTGGCCACCCCATCTGGCTGTGAGTTCTCTCTACAGTCTGTCGGCTGGCAGCGTGCTGATGTTTTAAAAGTCTTTTATGCACCCAGTTCCCCCTTTTTGGTGAGGTTTCTGTGAAGTGTGTTAGGTGTGCATCCTGCAGCTTATTGGCTTAAAATGTACTCTCCTTTGGTGTGGTCTCTTTCAGGGGCCGATTGGGAGAAAGAGAAACCAATAGTGCAACTGTTTTGATACTGAAAATTGACAAGTGTCTTTTTGAAATAAAGAACCAGTCCCTCCAACCTGACCTGCTTGACTTTTACTTTCTAAACCAAATGTGTTTTCTCCACAGGAGCTATGAAGTTTGGATTGAAAAAACTAGACTTTTGTGGGTGGTAACAGCAGAGTGCACACATTGTGAAAGCAGAGCAAACTGAGTTCAAAAGTAGGCTCTGAAATTCCTAGTTGTAGGTTCTGATATAAATAATTTCATTTCATCATCTGTGAAGTAGAACATGTATCATAAGGAAAATTGTAAAGATTAGAAATAATATTTATGTGCCAGGTTGAACTATACACATTGACTTTTCGTATTCTTTCTTAACAACTGGATTTTTTAGGCTTTATACTCCTCAAAGAACTTAAACAATATGTGATGCTGAACACATTGTATGTGGTTTTAATATGCTTTCCTGATAGAGCCTTTGAGTTAATATTCTTGGGTGTTTGGAGAAAACAAATTAACAAGGCATGTTCTCACAGTATTTGCTTAGAAACTGGCTTTGTGTGAGTGAATGACTTTCAAAGCTTCCTTTGAGAGGCCAGTGCCTGGCATTTCCTGCTCCCTGGCCTTGAGGCCAGACATAAACCTGACTTCCGAATAAAGTTAGTTTTTGTCGGTACTAACGACACAGGTCCTTTGACAAAGTGCAGCTGTTTGTACTGGAGATGAAATTTTTCCGTTTGTAAAGTACAGACCAATATTGACAGGAAATTATTGCCAGGAATTTCTCTCTCTTTTTTGGCGAGGAGCCAAACGCAAGGTAAGCAAAAGAAATTAAATGGGAAAATTGTAATTTTTAGACTGCTAGTGTTAAAAATACCTGCCATCCAGTATTTAGGAAAGTAATCTTTTAAGCAGGTAGCTGGGTGTGTCCCCCGCTTCGTATGTCTTGCTTGTACATGTCACGTGGTTTTTAGTGACTGCCCTTTCTTGAGAAGGTTGATGTTAAGAGTTGGAAAAGATGAAAGCACCGAAAGGGTCTTGAGAACATTCAAGCAAAATAGCTTGAGCCCCATACATGCTTAATGACGTCCACAGCTTCTAGTCTAACCATTCTTTAGTGTTTCTTTGAAAACCGAGTTCTTATTACTAAAAATTATTATAAATGTTAATCACTAAAATGTCCGTACAGTTGATTGGCTAAAGCGTTTAATTAAAAAAATTTCCCACAATTCCGAGTCTGCGGGGTGGGGGGCGCTGGTCCCCTGGTGACGTTATACCTTGCTGATTGGCTGATGTCGGGCACAGGGCGTGGGCAGTAGTTGGGCGGGAACTTGAAATCCAGTGGTCGCCATGACTGGCTGTGGGCTATTCAAGTCTCCAGGCTTAACGCTGTTTTTTTGCTTGCCTTTATATTACCTGCTGCTTCTGTTTTTGCTTGGGACCCTGTCCAACAAACTTAACGTGCCACAGGTGTTGCTACCTTTCGGCCGGGAGCCAGGCCGGGTACCCTTCCTACTGGAAGCGCAGCGGGGCTGCTATACTTGGTGAGCGATGAAGGAGTCAGGAGGATATATGCACCCCTACACCATCCAGTAAAGATGGGGAAGTTCACCCTATAGGGCCCCCTTCCCCCCAAGGAATGCTGCGTGGTCATTTGAGATGAAGGGGCCTAATCCTGTAGGGGAGAAGAGGCCAGATCCTCCTGATGAGGCTTGTCCTTTTCACTGTAGGTTGTGTCTATCCATATGTGACAAACTTTCGGAACTTGAGGTTAGCCTTTTCATTGTGCTTGTGTTGGGAGTTAATCTCAGTAGGAGCGGTGATCCAGACCGCAGGGAAGCCTCGTAGTTGGAGGCAGTGTAGGTAGGGATGGTTACCAGTGTGAGGGGTCTTCCAATGTATACTATTAGGGTGAGAGAATTCCAAGGTATGAGGAAATTTTTTTAGGAATAGAAAAAAGAAAAAAACTCACTGCCGTGGAATGGAATCTGATGGGTAGCGACCCCTCCTTGGGTTTCCGAGGCAGTATCTCTAGAGAAGTAGATTGCCCAACCATCCTTCCTTCCGAGGAGTGGCTGGTGGGTGTGAACCACCAGCCTTCTGGTTAACAGTAAAGTGCCTTAGGCACTATGCCGCCAGAGCCCACTGAGTAAATAAGATGAGCTATTCAGTGTGAGAGCGTGTGTGTCCCAAAACAACTAATTATTACGCACTTACTGCAGACTTTGAGTGTATTAACTCATTTAATTTAGATGTAGGTAAGTACAATTCACATTTTATGTATGAGGGACAGCTACAGAGACCATGAAGTTTAAACTTCTTGGAATATGACAAAATTTGTCTTGAGTGGAGATGAGATCTATGTGGAATATAAAGGTTTTCCTCCTTATAGGACGGTATCCACTTGAAGTGTGAGGATAAAGGGTACTCAGCTTGGGGAGTGATGACTTCCTGACTGAGCATGGATGGAAAGATAGACTTTCTGGTGTGAGAGAACCCAAAGGTAGGTTGTGAGGTTACCCAAGGTGTGAGGAAACCTAAATTAAAATGAGCTCCACGATATGAGAGGATTCACCCTGAACCCATTGCCATGGAATTGATTCCAAGTCATGGCCACCTCATATGTTTTAGAGTAGAACTACGCTCCATGGGGTTTTGAGGGCTAATTTAAAAAAAAAAGAAAAATTACCAACACTTTCTTCTGAGGTACCTCTGGGTAGACTCGAATCTTCAACCTTTTGGTTAGTAACTGAGGACATTTACTGTTTGTAATACCCAGGGACCCTGTGTTTACTCTTAAGTGGAGTAGATTTCCCTTTACTTTCTCCTAAGAGAAACAATGGGAGCTCTGGTAGCATAGTGCCTAAGGCACTTGACTGCTAACCAGAAGGCTGGCACATAACAACAATAACAACAAGAGAGACAATGGGGTTTATTCAGAGAGTAAAAAAGTTTCCCTCCCATTTTGAGGTAGTATAAAGAAATTAGGCTTATAAAATGACTCCATGTGGTGTGCTTCCTGACTAGATGATGCAAGGAATCTTTCTGCATATGGACTTGTCCTCCCCTCCCAATCCAAAAATAATGAGCTTTTTTCACCCCTTTTTTAAAAGGAAAAACTCGTGAATTTTCCAACTTAGGTGCCCAGTTTTGAGGATGAGAAAGCGCAATCTCTCATTATTGAAAATACAACATTCATCCTATTTTAATATACTGAGGGAAGAATGTAACATAAATCTTATTTTAAGTATTGAGGAAGGAATTTAACACTTCTACGATGATACAAATTGGGAAAAGGCTTTAATCATTTTCCCTACGTCACTTGTGTCACTAAGCAATGTTCCTACTTTTAAGAATGTCATTTAAACATATATGGTGGTATATAACGTGGGAGTGCTACAGGAATCTGTGTTCTATCAAAGTTGACTTTAACCCCCGTTCTTTTTTCATAGTCTTGAGTATTTTGTTCTGGCAGGCATTCCACCCATCATGATGCAGTTGCTGTTGAACCTTTATATGAAAATGGCAGCTTGTGTTCCCAAAGAGCTGTACTCATTGCTGAATCTACCCAACCTATACGCCTCAGCAGTATTATTCTTGCTCGAGAGATAGGTATGTTGAGAGAAAATGCTGTGTAAAACTTGGTCTGGGGTAGAATAATCTAATAATCTTGTTTCTATGGTTAATACAAATGATAAAATGAATAGGGATTTCTGCAAAATTTACCCTAAATTGTGGCCCCCTATAAGTTTTTTGTTTTTTAATATCAGCGTCTGGCATGTTGCCTGACACCGTGGAAACTCTAGTTGTTTGAATCAGTAAAGGAAAGAAGGAATTAATCACCTGAAACTAGATTAGTTGTTAAGGTCCGAGATTGGTTTTGAGTGAAGTTTTAAGTCTGCCAGCTGCTGTCGAGTTGATTTCCACTCACGGCAACCCCCTGTGTGTGAGAGTGAAACTGTGCTCCAAAGGGTTTTCAGTGGATGATTTTTCAGAAGTAGATCTCCAGGCCTTTCTTTCCAGGCAGTTCTGGGTGGACTTGAACTAATCTTTCAATTAGCCGCTGAGCACTTTGATCCAGGGACTCCTTGTTAGAAATGTAAATTCTCAGGCCCCAAACCAGCTCTGTAATATCAGAATTTCTGGGGTAGACCCAGAGATCTTTGTTTTAACAAGCTCCCTAGGTGATTCTTATGTATACTAAAGTTTGGGAAACATGACACTAGTTTATTTTAGAGCAACTCAAGGCAGTCTATTTGTATCCAAATAAGGTAAGGATTCAGTTTTCCTGGGTTTCTGACACTTCAATTGCATACACTAGGCCAGAAATATCTAAACAGCTTTCAATATTTTGATAACTGATACAATTGTAATAGGTTATTAGAGAGGAAAAAAAAAACTTGCTGTCCACTTGATTCTGACTCAGCAGCACTGTACGGTTTCCAAGGCTGTAAATCTTAGAAAGCAACACTGCCACATCTTTCTCCCATGGAGCAGCTTGCAGGTTTGAACCATGACCTTTTGATTAGTAGGTGAGTGCTTAACTACTCAACCACTAGTGTTCCTCCTCAGGGTGCTTAGTATACATATTTCATATAATTGAAGGCACCATCCATTTATGAAGGAGCTCTGGTGACATAGTGCCTATGGCATTTGACTGCTAATCACAAGATTGTTGGATCAAACCCAGCAGCCACTCTGCAGAAGGAAGACTGGGCAATTCCATAAAGATTTACTGCCTCGGAAACCCAAAGGGGGTCGCTATGAGTTGGAATCGACTCAATGGCAGTGAGTGGTTTTTTTTTTTTTTTTAATCTATCAAAAGCAGAGAGACGGGTATCTATGGAAAATAGCACTTACGGCAAGCACTGAAATTGCACTCCTGCCCAAACATCTGCAACCATCTTTTAGATAACTTTCCCATAATAGCTCAAAAATACAAGTCAAGCTTGTTAATCTTCTATTTTTTCCCTGTTGTCACAACTTGCCAGGTCACAGTGAATTTACAAGTTGTTTACATTCTTTACACACTTCACATATTTCTATATTTCTGTTTCCAAGTTCAGAAATTCTAAATAACTTTCATATGATTTACAGATTACTAATAACTTATAGTGAATGTTAGAGTCTCACAAAGGTATACATATTTCTACGTTCATATTATGAGTGCTCATACATA